CAACTCGTCCGTCAAGGCCGCGCGCTGGGTCCGCTTCTGCGACGCCTTCAACATCCCCATCGTCACCTTCGTCGACGTGCCCGGCTTCCTCCCCGGCACCGCCCAGGAGCACAACGGCATCATCCGCCACGGCGCCAAGCTGCTGTACGCGTACGCCGAGGCCACGGTCCCCAAGATCACCGTCATCACCCGCAAGGCGTACGGCGGCGCCTACGACGTCATGGCGTCCAAGCACCTGCGCGGCGACATCAACCTCGCGTGGCCCACGGCCGAGATCGCCGTCATGGGCGCCAAGGGCGCGGTCGAGATCATCTTCCGCGGCCGCGACGCCGACGCCCGCGCCAAGGCCGAGGCAGAGTACATTGACAAGTTCGCCAACCCGCTCCCCGCCGCCCAGCGCGGCTACCTCGACGATATCGTCGCCCCCGCCGACACCCGTCGCCGCGTCATCGAGGAGCTCGCGCTCCTCCGCGACAAGACGCTCAAGAACCCGTGGAAGAAGCACGGTAACATCCCGCTCTAAGGTAATCCCCCGCTCTTGTTCCGGTTGCTCTAGCGAGCGCGTGAAGGCGCCCGCGGTTTGGTTGCGAAAATACACGTACATACATTGTTAACGACTACCGGTACACTGCGTGAAAAGCCTAAAGAGTGAGTGGCGACATCGAACTTTGAGATGGACCAAGCAAGAAACGAATCAGGTCCCAAACGTCCAACGCCAGGAAGCAAATCAACGCGCGTGCCAGTCAGTCCTCAAGAGATCACGCCCTACGCGGGCAGGGCTCAGTTCAGTCACGGCGCGCGCGGGGCCAGCAGATGCGCCTGTGGTCAGACTACGCCAAACGTCGGACGTGGGATTTTAAGCCTGAAACTGAGTAATGTATAAACAACGGAAACAAGTCTTGAATGAAATGAAGCTCCATCCGCAGTTCAGTGAGTGCAATGACCCTCGCGTTGCCGCCGCGGCAGCGGCGACGCGTTGCGCCACAGTGCACTGGATCATTCTGCTCGCCTCGTCCCCCTCTCCTTGTCTTTCATGAATTGACTCGAATGCAGTTGAGCCAAGGAGCAGCATCCACAAAGGAAATACCAACCGTCGCTCAGTTTGAGCTGCAGGCTGGCCATGGTGATCCGCGATGCGCAAATCCATACCATGACGCAGAAGCAGACCAGGGGGAGCCGACTCGACCTCGATCCGGACATGGCAAGTCCGGATTCCCCGGCGACAGCCGGGTGACTCCAACGCGTCGAATAGGGCGGATGGGTGCGACAGGGGCCTGTCGGCCCGCGTGGAAGCAGACCTCCTAAATCAACGGTCGCGATTGCCAAACCACCTGCTGCCCCACGTGTCACCATAAACGCGGACATGGTGTGCGAACTCGGGGCCGCGGAAATCCTTCGCTATCGAATTGCGTTTTGGCCGCCGCACAAGTGCCACCATGGAACGCAGAGACCATGGCGGATGATTCCAGATCAATTGCCAGCTAGTCCTTCGTTGATACGATCAAGATCGCTGTTAGACGGGGTGCCTTCGCCGCCAACATGGTCTTTCGCCACTGCTCAGATGACAACGAGGACGCCCTCCTCGGACCAGGCAGTGGCCAAGATGGATCGCGAGGCTGCGGGCATACAAAACACGACAGAAGTCCCGGCCGTTATTTCGTTGGTGCCGCGCCGCGCTGCCCAGACAGAGCCGTTTCGCGGACGTGAGCAATCAGTAACGCGTGATTTTCACGGAAACGCGCCCTGCCGGCACGGTCTGTTCAAATTGGGTGAGGGAGGAAACTTGCGTCCTGAAGCAGGTCGGGATAGGGGGCGGACCATGGAACAGGGACGGAGGCAAACCTTGCTAGCAAGAGCCAGCCGTAGCGGATCGACCCGCGGCAGCATTTGCTCGCCCGCCTTACTGCCTGCCGTCCCCTGAGGGCCAAATCGAAACGCGACAATGTGCGACGGGTGGAAAGCTGACGACAGCCTGGCGCGAGGCTCCACAGCAACGAGTTGTCGCCCGCTCAGCTCAATTCAACTCGACCCGCGCCGGGTGCACCGTGTCGCGTGTATGACGGGACAAGAGCGGCACCGCTTGCATGGCCTGAACAAGATGAATTCAATGCATGCAGTTGCATGGGAGCGTCTTTCCATTATTCGCAGTGCTATGGGCTGGAGTTTTGGTCAAGTCGAGTCGAGTCGCGCGAGCTGGGCGACGCCATTCGCTCGCTCTCACCTCACATCGACGTGACGTCCCTGCCACTCCAATCGCGACGCGCCGAGACGCGTCCGTTTCAGGGATCTCCTCCCTTTTTTGCCTTTGTCTCGACCTCGTTGGTTGGTCGCGCTCAAACGCAGTTCACGATTGACGCGAGACAAAGACGACCGGCCCTATAGAGAAAGAAAAATGGAACAACTCTGGCGGGGGCCAAAACATCTCGGCGGGACCGAAAAGGGGAAAACGGAGACTCCCCGCACGCGGCGCTGCGCTCTGGGGTTCGAACTTGTGGTTCAAACTCCATCCCGCATTTAAACGGCAGGCGGGGGCTCCTTGCCCGTTCCACTCACCCGCCACGTTGTGAGTGCACTTGACCTCGACCAAGTCAATCAACTACGACTATACATTCGACTTACTACTGGGCATCGCACCGTCCAATGCAACGCCATGGCGGGTCACGCGTCATGCCGCGTAGTGTGCAAGTGATGATAATGATGATAATGATGATGATGATGATGATGATGATGATGATGATGATGATGATGATGATGACTTTGGCAAAGTCGCAAAAGGTCAATGTTGCGCTCAAGATCAAGCGCGCGCGCGCGGACGCGATCCGCGATACACACGCTTCAAGAAGGAAGCTGGAATTTTACGGTTCAGTTGAACGAGCGAGCGAGCGGGCGGCACAAAGGACGAGCTAGCGGCCATCTGGTCCGTGTCTGTTGTTCAAGCCGGTTGAGAGACTGAGCAAAGTTGCGCGCCAAGAAAGAGAGAGAGAGGGCAAAGACAGCAGCGGGCCGCGGCTGCAAAGGAGCAAAGGAGCAAAGGAGCAAAGGGAACCTGGCGAAAACGGAACCTGGCGAAAACGGAACCTGGCGAAAACGGAACCTGGCGAAAACGGAACCTGGCGAAAACGGAACGGCGCGACACAAGGCCAAAGCGGGTGATGGAGATGAGATCGCTGGCTCTTGCTTGGCTTGAAGCAGCTGGCGCCCAAGCCGCGACGACGGTCAACGTTGCGCTCAAATTTGTGCGTCCGCGGGTGCGGATGCGGTTTTTGGTCGCGTGCCGCGCCGTGCGTTAGTTGCGGCTAGTTCGAGCGCGCCACAACTGCAAACAGCCAACCAAGGGGCGCAACGGCTTTTCTTTCATGCCCATTTTCCCCTTGATTTAGTTTTTTTTTCGAACGAGGAATAGAGCAGCGAGCAGTTCTGGGGGACGCGTTCTGGGGGAGCTTTGCGAGAGACGCGTTGCGATATCACGCTTGTCTCACACGCCACGCGTTGCACCACACGGGTGTGTTGAGTGGCAAACGAGGGGGACTCGAGGAGACACGATGCAGCTAGTCAGGGTTGTGTATTCCTGCCTCGGCCCCGAACCAGGGCTGGGTGAGGGAGAGAGGATGACAAAAGCGGTAGCGCCGCCGCGGGATCGCGGCGGGCGAAATAGGCGGTTGCGGGCGAAGCACGTGAGATCAGGTGGGTGATCATCCCAATCACCACCGCATGAACGACGCGTAACACCATGGCCGCCACTTCGCCTCGTCTCGCCTCATCTCACCAAACCAATGATTAGCGGGTCGGACCAGGTCCGGTCCCATTTTACCACCAGTTCGCGCAAAAAAAAAAAGGAGACACTGAATAATTACCATCAGAGCGGTTGCTTGGTGCCAAGAACGTGTGTCAAGTGGTCATAGCTGCGCGAGTAGTAGCGGCAGCGTTGCTATGACAGTGGCAGTAGGGGTGTTTGGGTGTCCTTGTTAACTTAGATGAGGGATTATCTGCGGCCCAGAAAACGGCGCTCACAAGGGAAAAGGAGGGAGGGCATCAATTAGCGCGCCTGGATCGACCTTGCGCAGCACAACCGTGCTGCACATCCAAGCCACAAGGGTAAGCGAGAGGTGAGTTGCTGCTGCCTTTGCGCCAGTGACACTTGGGCGCGGCAAGCGAGTGGGGAATATCTGTCGCCAACCCAGTGCCCATTGCCATGTTGCCATGGACGTTGTAGCAGTTGTGCTTTTGGCATCCAACCGCGCCGCATTGACCACAGCAGCCGCAATATCGTATAGCGGCAGCAGCCTCTGAGAGTACGTACCGTTCGTGTGGTTCGAAGGGGTTGTCTTTGATCGCTTGTTTGGCGTGCGTTGTACCTTGACCAAGGAGCTGGCACCACTGGCTGGCACCACTGTGCCATTGCAAGGCTGTGAGCGTGCACTTGGACCTTGTGCGCCAGGCGATCTGGCACTGCAGCGGAAAACCTTGTAACGCGTCATCTGATGACTATGAATATGCATAAAAACTCTTTGGAGTGTTGGGAGCATATGCTTGTTAAAGTGAGATGAACGCAACTTGATCCCAACAATTTGATTGTGGAATGTAAGAGAGAAGGATGGCGGTGCAAGCCCATGTAGAGCCCACGCTCGCACGTAGCCTGCTGTCTTCTATATACCTGCACGAGGTGGCGTTTGACGTCATGGGGTCGCACTTCAAGTCATGGTTGCTTTGCTGAAGTGGACAAGTGGCGAGCAGATCCATGCCAGCCCGTCTGTATCTCTTCTCGTTGCACCGACGTATCAAGGACAATTTTCGCTTGGTTGGACCAAAGAGGAAGAAGAGACAGGGTCGCGCCTAGCGCGGGGAGCTGTGGTTAAAGGCGGCATCGCGATCGTAGCGCCAGAGCCACGCGGCGGCCGGAGTGTCGAAAGACGGACCAAACAGGTCGGTGGCTGCGCCATTTCATGATCCTGGACTTGTGGGGTCATGTATATAGTCAAAATTGTCAGGTAAAAATTATCGGATCGTTGGTGTAGTGGTCAGCATTCAGCCCTTCCAAGGCTGCGGGTCGGGTTCGAACCCCGGACGATTCATTTTGGCTCCCCGGAGCATGTTTCCTATTCGTTTTTGCACGGACGGTCCCCCTCGGGGCATCCGGCGACCCTAGACGCGCACTCTGCCGGATCTAGACCCTCACCGAGCCCCACACAGCGACTGGCATCACCAAAGACAACAGCGACTCCCCCATGGATGCGATCCTCTCAACTTGCCCCGCTTGTGATGACTGCAAAGCGCACCATGGCCGTGAACGTCCCCGCTGCCTACTGCCCAAGCGTTTTCTCCTCTGAGCCAGCTGCGGCAGTATGAGACTTTGTTTGGCGTGCAAGGGCATGTCTCACCCTGTCTTTGGTTGCTGTTGCCACAGCTATCCAGCCTCCTTGCTGTCACCACCATGTGGAGCAGAAAGATGTCACCTGCAAGTCAAGTTGTTGGCGAATCACACGCTGGACCGCTGGGAGGACCTGTGATCCATGATTGTTCGTTTGCAAGCAAGAACATGTTCATCAGGTTGCGGTGGACCAAGGATACCCCTGAGCTTGGGGCAATAGACTTGCGTGACGCGAGCGGCGTGTCAGCACTGCTCCCTTGCGCCATAAACCTGCTTCAAGGGGGTGGTGGTGGGGCAGATACGTGGATTCCACGCGCGAGTTGAAGTGCACGTGATCGCGTTGCGCCACAGCCACTGGACGCGTGCGACCCCGCCCGCGTCACGCGAATCACGCGCACCGCGCCGATCTCCTTTGTTATCGCCGCGGACCGCCTCGCCTCACCAAGCAACGCGTTGGCCCACTCATATTGGGCAACGCGTCCCTGCATCCCCTCTCTCTTGTTTCTTTGACCAGTTGCTAGTATTAGCCACCATATACAGCCTGTTGTCCTCTCGTGAACCTCTTCACCGCCTCAATCTTCTTCTCCGCCAAGATTGCGCGTCCATTGTGCCAAGCTTCCTCCCAGTTGAGTCCGCTTGAACTGCGTGTGGGCCTGTTCAAGTGCCTAAACAAATAGAAAATGAATAATAGTGCCATTACGCGTCTCCTCTGTGGCCAGTTTGGCCGCCCACGCTTGTCCCATAGTCAACACGCTGTGCGGTACAAACGGGACAGAGTGAAAAGCAGCCTTTTGGTTTAGATGATTGCTGATGCTGCGCAACGGCTCACTACTAGACCGTGCTCAAGCTCACAGTCTCGCACCATGGTGAGATAGTAGAAAACCGTACACGGCGACAGTGAGATGGATGGTACTGTTTGACTAGTTCCATTGCAGGCTATTTCCTGGAGTAGGCGGTGCGCTCTACGCTTTTGATGCAGGACTTGTGAACAGCGGGGCTCTTCTGCGTAAGTTGGCTGCGAACCTATTAGAAATCAGGGCTGTATGACTGCTCACTGCTGCAAGTCCACAAGAACCTTCATGGACTCTCTGTACATGGTGCGCAAGGATTTCCGCAGGTTCCTGCGCTCACGCATTCATTTTATTTGTCTACCCTGCAGCTGAGCGAGGTTGAGCAGCGAAACACGGCGCAAGAAAATCGCGCATGCGTCCCAACGCGGCAAAGCGAGACGCTCATCTGCACGTGGTGGCACCAAGCAATTTTGCCTGGAACGGCCAGCGCGGTGCTTTCGCTTGAAGGGCATGTGAAAGCGGCCGTCCCCTGTTGCGCGCTATAAAGGCTGGGTGCGCCCCGCGCCTCCCCAAGAGCAGTTATGGTTGACTCGTACAGCGTTGGGCACAGGGGAGGTTGGTTACGGTGCGCAAACAAGTGGGAGAGGAGAAGGTGCTGAAGAGGGAGATGCCAAGATAGATCAGGAGGAAGGGAACTAAGAACTAGGTGTCTATTGAGGCAAAGTAGCAACTAGCAAAATATACAAGAGGAACAGGAGCGGAGACACCCACCCAAGGTGAGCAGTGGAGTTGACGGATTGGCGTGCAGCAGTCAGCCTGCAGCGTGATGGGGATGATGCAATCGATTGCATGCGCGCACGTGAGTGGCGCGACGCGCCAGCGGCTGGTCACACGGTTGCGTGTGCACTTGAACTAGAGCTGGTCGCTTCTGCCAGGTGCGATTCGACTTGCACACCCACATCTCACTCTGGTAAGTAATGTATTGATGACACACCATGCAACGTCCCGCTGTACCATGGCAGAGCAGCGTCCAGTTGCATGCACGCGACCAATCCACACTTGCAGTTCCTACGCGTGTGCTGGCTTGCCCAAGCTAAAGCTTCATGCTGCCTCCAGCTGCCACAGGCTGGACATGCGCAGCAAGCAGCTGGCTTGTACAAGATATGCGTGCTGATGGCCTTGCTGGGTCTTTCTCCCCCATCCACGTTGTGTGATAGCAGGATAGAGAACACTGCCAATATGTTGCACTTGGACAACTTGTCTGCACCAATCAAGGCGCTGCAAGAGCAGATTGACCACCTCTGCTTGATCTTTGAGGGTACGCACACGCATTGACAAAAACTAGCTCTGCGCCTTGCGAATTGAGACTCACGCGCGCAACAGGCACAACTTGCATTCCTGCTTCCAGACCTCGAGGGTGGCGACTTGCCTGCCACTGTCAAGGCGGCAGCTGCCATGTCCAAGGCCCTCATTCCGCTTGCCATCAAGAACAAGGAGCTGTGCACGCGCGTTGGCAAGAACGAGTGCCGCTTCACAGTCCTGCTGCGCTCCATAAACAAGATTGAGCAGCGCCAGAGTATCTTGCCAACCTGTGCCACCACCCGCTTGCCGCCACCCCCTGCCACCACCTGCCAAGGGGAAGCGCGCTGCCACCACCAGTACTGCTGGCGTGTGCTGCTCAATGCCATTGCCAGCATTGGCCTCCAAGTCTGTGCTGTTCCCAGCCACCCCCGTTGCGTGCAAGTGCTGCTCAGGGGCCATGGCAGGTTGCGCACGCTGTGCATGTGCATCAGTATGCACACGGGGCCATGGCCCTGCTGCTGGATGCAAACGCGCTACCGCTGGGTCGTTGTGCTACTGCTAAACGAACGGTTGAGCAGATTGATTGTCAAGCGGGAAGAGGTTGATGATTGTGTTCCAAGATACGGCCAATGTAATTAATCCTCATGCGTGTGTTGTGTGTGCAAATATCTTTTTGAATGCCGCCTTGAGGTGTCCGTTGCATGGATCAAACGTCGAATAGATGAGTCTCCTTGGTCTCTATTCTGCCAAGCGTGTTCTGGGAGCTGTCCACTATGAAGTTCTTCAAACTAGTTTCAGAATTAAAACCTGTAGTATAGGCTAGCAAGCAAGTCATCTTAGTATAGTGGTTAGTACTCCACGTTGTGGCCGTGGCGACCCCAGTTCGATTCTGGGAGATGACACCTTTTTTTTCTTCCGTCACACTTACCATGCGTTGGAAAAAAAAAAAATTAGCGTCTGTAGGTTTCGATCCTACGACCTCAGGGTTATGAGCCCTGCGCGCTTCCTCTGCGCCAAGACGCTGATGTCCATCCGGTCCCACAAAAGAGTTGATAGCGTAAAACCTCAAATGATTTCTTGGGACAGCGCAAGCAAGTAGGAAGAGGTGGAGCGCTGCGTCCAGGCATCAGGAATCCGGGAGGATTCAGCTAATGGGTGGAGGCTAGGTGGACCCAGGCTGATTCAAGGGCTGAGTTAGCTATCCCTTGGGTCTAGCTGACCTCACCTTGAGTCAGGCTTTCCTTGGCTAACCTCTAGCGCGACAGTCGCGGAATATACTGGCAAGGCAATGCTGTAACAGAGCGTGGTGATGAAGATGACACCGCAATGACGCGCCCGCTCGTGCTTGCCTCACCCGCTCTGTGCCAACAAGGAATTATGTCATATCAAGTGCCCCTTTCTTGGATCTTGCAACGACGACCAGCCTCTCAGCACCGGCTTGAGGACAACATGGCGGGCGACGTTGCGGACAATGACGTGTTGCAGGGGCCAGCAAGTGGCGACATCTTCAACCACTGCAACAAGTTGGCCCAGCATGAGAGTAATGCTGAGGCCGACCACTCACTCTACCCAGGCGGCGAGGAGTGAGTAAGCTCGCGCGCCTGCTGTTGAGACCGCGAGGCTGACTTTGCTGTAATTCTGCTCTCCTTGTTCCCCATGCTTTGCTGCCAATGGTGCTGCCCACTCACTGAGCTGCGCAAGGTTAGCGTCAGGGAGTTGCAGCTCGGCTGACTGCGAGACGGGCCGCGAGACGCGTTGCAAAAACACGTGGGGGTCATCCGCACATGAAGTAGCTGGGCTGGTGACTTGGCAGCCTTTGGCACGCGCGTTTGGGAGCTGAGGGATTTGTCTTCGCGCGGCGGTCGCTTCCCGCTCCCGCTCTCTCAATGCGTCCACCCCGCAATGAAGTACTTGATACCCTTGCAGCACAGCACTCTCGCCGGCCACCGTCACCGCTGCCCCCTTGCTACGCCATCCTTGCCGTCGCCAAGCTTGGCTCCAGACACGCCCAACGTTGCGGCGCAAGCCTGGCACGCTGCCGCTGGCAACGCTTGCCACCGTACTGCAATGCGTGAGCCGTCCCGCCGTCATGGCGCCATGGGTGCTATCTTGCCACCATTGTGTTGTTGCCGTGGGTGCGCGTGTCTCACGCGCGCGCGGCGCGCTGTCGTGCGCTGGCTCCACCTGCATGCTATCCTGCAGCAACAGGGCACAGTGCAGCGCGAGGCAACGCACCCGCTGCGGCGTCAACCGCGCGCGCGTGAACCAGTGGAACTAATGACTAATGACTGGGCGGCGCTTGTGTAGCCAGCCGCGTGCGCGCGTCCAAGTCAGTGGTCTTGAGCCTTTTGACTCACAGATACCCTGGCCATTGAGCTTGCTGCACGCATCACGGTACGCATTCCGCTGCGCGTCAGCACCGCGTGCCTTGGCCTCACCGCGCACAACTGTAGAGAGCGGTGGTGGACTAGCTCAGGCGGTCCGCTTGTGGCCACCACGCGGCTCACGCCCACGTCTCAGGTACGTTTGCTCAACTTGGTTCCACAGCTGACGCGGCTCTGACTTGCCTCCTCTCATTCGCCATCTTGATAGACTGCGGTCCTTACGTGCC